GTAGTCGTGATCGTGGTGGGATTTACTTTTAGGTGAGGCCTGTGGCATTTTTTTTCAGGATTTACAAGAAGAAAAAAGCTCAAAGGAGAACTTCACATTCCTGTGAGGGTAGATTGGTCTTTTAAAAAAAGCATTTAGCGCACGGGTATGTGGATGAAGTGGTTTGATATTGCAATAAAATAAGAGGGGAATGCCTCCAACTTTAACGTACAGTAATTATTTTATCAGCATTTTGAATTGATTTTCTTTTGGGGGGGGGGGGTTTAAATAAACAAATGCATATTGTTGTAATCTCTAAATATGGATTCAAGGCTCCGTATGCAGCCGCCTTTCAATAATTATTACAGTTACTGCTAAGAAAAGTAGACATATCAAATTTTTTTGGAGTATTGAATAACATTGTGAGGAAATATTGCACAACATAAGACAAAAAAAAGAAACTTGACTATACTACTATAATTTAATGCTAAGTAACAGGTACCTAGACTTTGTAGTGCAAGACGGCGGAAGAAGCAATTTATATCCTAATTAAAAATAAAACAATAAGGTCGAGTGTTTGAGGTATTCTTAGTCCAGATGTTTGTACACTAGTATGTTAATTCTCAAGAAAATATCGCATAATTCCGCTGTCGGAAGAAAAGCGCCTACGTTTGGGCCCCGTTTTTAAAGCGACTCTTGTATTTTAGCCGATATCAAGTGGGTGTTATTAGCATGAGAGTGAGGAAATGACGCCGCTTAAGGATCTTGTACATTTTAATTTAAAGCTGGTGAAACTTCACAAGTTCACAAACTACATTTTCTTGCGACAGCAGTGATGTTACTCCATTAGGATTTATTTAACCAACCACTACTTTTTGTCAGTATTTCTCAGTTAAATCTTGTTTCCTTTCTTCTTCTTCTTCTTTCCCTATGGTCAATTGAGCATAATGGGTATGCATAATATTCAGGTGTATTTCACTATAGCATTGGATTTCTAAGTTTAAAAAAACATGCAGTATATTTATACAGCAAGTGGTACAGTAATGTATTTCTAGCTAAGCATGGTTGCATCAGTGTGGCAGCTACTGTTTGTGCTTTTAATATATATATATATATTATTTTTTGTTTTTGTTTTACCTCTTCTGCATCTGTCCGCTTCATATCCGTTTCTATAGGAGGGAGTGGAGTTCACACAAGGTCTTTACATAAAACTGTGGGATTTCTTATCACCAGATTCCCATTGAAATTACAGACGTTACGATATGTTACAAAAAAAAAAGTTAAAAAAGAGGATCGGTGACAGAACTGAAATGGATGCCTTTAGAATCAGTTTTTCTTTTTTTCTGTCCGTTTCTGTTTTGTGGGTTCAAAGAATTGTATTGAATGATGTCTTGAAAACCCTCAGCCTCTGTGCCCTTTGTTCTGTGCCATATTTCACCAGTTGTTGTTCGATAAATATTACTTTGTTCTCCTAAGTGGTGAATTCTGAGTCCTCGTTGCGTCTGGCTTCATGTGAATCTGTTTAGTTTTGGGGTTTTTCCCGTATTGCTGTCCTGTTTCTCACGCTGTTGATGCATATTGTCTGCCTGACTCTTTAACTTTTGCTCCTCCTCTCTGGGTTTACCCCCGTTTTCACTTTGTGCCCACTCTGCATTCCATTACACATCTGGTTTCATCACATTCAGGGATGCAAAATGATGTCGGATCATATATAGTTTCTGCCCGTCTTCACTCTTAGCACTTGTTTTTTTTTTGTTTTTTTTTTAACCTTTCTGTGCCAACCTGCCTAAAGTTTGCATCCCTCACCTCCCCGTCTGAACTGCAGAAGCGATGGTTGTTACATCGACGCCTTTTTAAACACTAGATGTCGCTGGTGACAAAGTCTAATGTGGCATCTTTGGCTGATGGCTTTGAGCCTTTTTAATCATTTACATGTAAAACTCACAATTAAATGTCATCTTTGAACACTTTCTCAAATTGCTGTAGGTTTATTGGGAGATAGTTTTAGATAACAACCTTTTAGGACAACCAGAACTAAAAATACAGACCTGTATTTTTGACTTTTTGGTTTTGATTGTGGACCAAAACTCAAAAACAAATCATTTTGTTTTAATGTGGAGACCCAGTGAAGAGACTGGGAACAGTTTCAGTTTTGTTTAGTTTTTTTCCAGAGTGATGAAACTGCTTTCTCATTTCACTCCATTCCTTGTTTCATTTATTTCGATTTGCACTTAAGTGAAAATGGGCAGTTGCACACTTTGCAGCGTTTGGGGACGAGGGGGTGGCGGTGTGCAAACTTGTCTTAATCGTGACTCTGCTTCACCGCTTCATCTGTCAACCTGTAGATTTCCAAACCTTTTTTGCTTTTCTTTTCTTTTTTTTTTATCTTGACAGTGAAAATGTGACTAGAAGCATTTCATAACACCTATCCTCTCTTCCATATCCTCTCTTCCATTCCCCCCACCCTTCTCTTCTTTTGTTGTTTTTTGTTTTTGCCTTGCAGTTGCAAAGTCTTAGTTTTTCACAAGTATAAACTAAAACACTACTATCAAAGTGAATAGTAGGCTCTTAAATGTCTTCAATGTTCTGCCGCAGCTTTTTAATTTCAACTTGTCAGAGATATCTCTTAGTTTGATTTGACACTAAATGTGATGCAAAAAGTGGAAATTCCTTGTCTTCCAAAAAAAACAACAAAAAAACAAAAGAAGAAGAAAAAAAAACTGCTTGCATCCCTCTGGATCAAGTACGATGAACAACCCCCACTTTGGAAGTTTTAGTTTGGTACCCAGTTTGCACATGCTATGGTATATCTGTTACCGTAAGGTTGTGTTTGAAACTGAAGCCCAACGTCTGTTCAGCGTTGAGAGAAGTGAATTGTATGTTAGCTATTTGGTCCAGAGTGAAGGACCTGCGTCAGGCTTGTGATATGAAGTGTAAATCTGTTTTCTTTTTTTTCTTTTTTTTAATTTCCTCTTTTTTTATTGTTTATTTTTTTTGTTGTTGAGGGTTTTTTTTTTTTTTTTTTTTTAAAGATCAGTTAGTGATCTTAGTACTATAACTAAGCCAAGTTTGTAATTGTATATTTACTGTAAAATGTAGAACATTGAATAACTATTAAAATTTTCCTATAAAAGGAAGACTTATTGTGTGTGTGGCCTTTTTTCCTGGTTGTGTTGTCATGATATTAATTTTTTTTATTGTTGGGTATATTTCATAAAACACTGCTTTTTGAGATTCATCAAAATATGCACAAAGAGAGAAATCAAGTCATAAACCCTCACCTAATTCTAGTGTTTTATTCATCATGATTTTAGCAGGTCTCAACATTATGCAAGTACAACCTCAGATGAAAGCCATAAAACTACGTACGCCCTTACTGATTCTATAGTAATTAGGAGGGTAATTAACTGCCACATGCTACTAATCAAGTCCACTCATCAAATATGAGCACAACTATAAACGCAGAAGTTTTGGCAGTTTGCTGGCCTGAAGCATTTAGGTGTGTCACAACACAGTGCCAAGCAGGAAAGATGGCAGCAGTGGAAGCAATTGTTGCTGTGCGTTAGTCTGGGAAGAGTTTTAACTTCATTTCCCAACAATGTTAAGTCCATCATTCACAAGTGCAAAACATTCAAGACAGTTGCAAGTTTTTCCAGTCCCAGCAAATTCACTACTTCCAGTTTTCCAAAACCCCATAAACCACAAAATGCTCAATTTAAAAAAAAGAAAAGAACAAAAAACAAGAACAAAAACAAATTGCATGTGAAAAAAATGTTTATCTTGTGTATGCAGATTGCAGGCAGTGAGCAAGAGCTTCTTCATTTAGAATGAGTATGATGTATGAATTGGAGAAGTGAAGTGCAGATGTTTGGTCTTAATGCACGAATTTCTCATCCCAGCTGTCAAGCACAGTGGTGGAGAGGTGATGATTTGGGCTTGCTGGGGCACCTTCATTATTTCAACCATGAACTTCTCTGTAAACCAAAGTATTCTAGAGTCAAATATGAGGCAACTGAAGCCAGCTAAAGCTTGTCTTAAGTTAGGAGATGGAGCAGAACAATGACTCATCAACAAATGCCTGCAAAACCTCAATGAACTGAAGCAGCATTATTATATCCCCCGTGATAATCTTAGAGGCTGATTGGCTTAGTTATTGCTAGAGGTGGTTCTACAAGCTGTTGTATTATGGGATGCACTCAGTTTTTCACACACTGCTGCATTTTAACCTAAAACGTTAAATAAATGCGTTACAGGTCATGTGTTGTTCATCTGAGGTTGAACAACACGTGACCAGATCATTTTTTTCTCGTACGTCCTGTTGCATCACACCTTACAATTAAAAGAGGGGGTGTTTTCTTTATGACTGTATTTCTCTGCATGTCCAGGCAGATAAAAAGAAGGGGAAAAAAAACCACCTGCTTATGTTTCTGGAAATTTTCTCCTAAATTGGAGTAATGGGTGACGATCTAGCTCGCTTTGTTGTACTAAGCTCTGGGTGTGACTTTTTGTAGCTGTAGATGTCTGCATGTGAACAAAACTAATCTTTGTCTTACTATACTTCCCATTTCTATTGTGTAACTCCTCAAGTTAAAAATGGAAATACACAAAATTGTAGCCATAATAGCAAATAGTGCATTGTACCTTCTGTTTTTGACGTTAATTTCTCCTTTTCGTTTCGTCTTGATGCTTTTTTTTCCCCTCCCACAAAAGTACCTTCAAAAAAGTGGAAGAATGACAGAATGAGGATGCGTTATTTCCCGTGTAGCAAAAAAAAAAAAAAAGATGGTGAAAGAATGCTCAACTCTTTCACTTCTCTGTAAGCCCACAGAGATCTGACTGGCTTGAGCAATACAACCACCAGTCAGGCGTGCACTGAGCAAACACCGACACCTCTTTTATGCACACACAAACACACACACAAGGCCTTGAGTAATAAGTGCACATGTGTACTTGTGCACAAGGGAAAAAAAGATGTGTCAAAATATATTTGGGCTTTAATGGTAATGATCACGGTGACCATTGCAAATCCAAATAACTGATGCCTTATTAGGAATGTTGATTCTGTCTCTCCTCTTCCTGGAGAGAAACACTTGCATACTTGTCACACGCATGCATTTATGAGTTTCTTTATTTATCACTATTTATTAAGGGAAGAAAGATGTCAGAACATACTTGGATTCTAAGTTTCCAAGATTCCCCCTGTCATAAATTGTGAATTAACTTAAATTAACCACATTTTATGAGAAGCTGAGTTTAATTTCACTTGCCATATCCATGTCTGATTATTGCCAGACCTGTTAAATCAAGAAATCATTGAAACAGAACCTGCCTGACAAAGTGAGGTGTGCTAAAAAAAAAAAATCTTAAAAGGCAGAACATTGTCCTACAGTCTTAAGAAATGAAGTCAGTGTTGTCTGTTAGTCCAGAAATGTGTACAAAGCCACTTCTATGTCTTTGGGAGTCCAGCAAACCAAAGTGAGAGGCTTTATCAACACATGGAGAAAACCTGGAACAATGGTGAACTTTGACTCCACCCATCAAGGAGATATCTAAAATACATCTAAAGAACTGCAGACCTTACTCGTTAGTTGTTACTCTGACAGTTAAGGTGAGTTCTTAACTCAACAATAAGAAAGAGACTAGAAACTTGAACTTTGGTGGCGGTAGTGTGATGCTCTAGGGCTGCTTTGATGCTTCAGACCTGGATGACTTGCTGTAATTGATGGAACCACGAATTCCGCTCTCTCGACCGAAGTTCCTCCACAGCTGTGTGAAAGTCCCATTGCCAGTTATCACAATTTTTTAAAGGTTATCTTTGTCTAATATTAAAATCTGATTGACAATCCGAAACATGTATATGTGACAAATATGCAAAACACTAAGAAATCAATAAATTTGGTTTGCATACTCCACTGTGTAGAATAATATGTTGTGCAAAAAACATATAAAGACTGTTTGTTTCTCATAAGCACTTTAAACAAGCCTAAATCGTAAGGTTTTAGTTGTTCTTCTGACATGTTAAAATACTGACTTTACAGCTGAAGTGTATTCACTGTACAGGTGATTCCTCGTGCTCAGGATTTCATGCACTCTCTGTCGAGCAGGCTCTAAAAAACCCACCGTGCAGGTTCACACCTGAAGTGATCATTTATTTTAGTGATGCTCTTTGTTCCCGATTAAAGTAATTCTTCCAAGTTAATTCAGGTTTACATCTTCAAAACTTTCGTGTTTCTCTTTCATCTGCTTCCAGTTCAAAGGGACAGCTCACAGCTAAATCAAATAAAGTATCTGCTGGCTTGGAGGCCAGTGTTGGAGACTGTTAGCTTTATCTTCAGTGTAATGACACCTGATGGCACTCGCCTCGTTGTGCTCAAATCGCTTTAAACGTAAAATCCACTATATGAGTGAGGTGGTACGGTTTTCGTGGGATGAAAAATAGAGAAGAAATCTGTAACTTTAATTTTGGGGATGAGGTGTTCTTCTAATATACTTTGATTTCTTATTTAATGAGAACTACTTACCAAATATCAGCAGAATTAATATAAATGCTTGTATTGATGTTTAATCGATACAAGTTCAACATTTTGTTTCTACCCTCCAAGTTTAGTATGTAGCCCACTGATTTGTTTTAAATCAGTGGGCTACATACTTTAAAACATTTAAAATGTGGATCTTTCAGTCCTCGATAGCTCATCGCCAATTATTTCAGAAAGCAGCAGCAAGGCTGCTAACGAAAACTAGCAGCCGTCACATGTTCCACCAATCCTTGCATCCGTTCACTGGTTTCCAGTGGAATTCAGAATCCACTTTAAAGCTGTGTTATTAACATTTAAAGCTCTACATATTGCAGAGCTTCTAACACTTTGTCGATGCAGTTGGCCTCTCCGATCGTCTAACCAGGGCCTTCTAACTGTCCCTCACTCTAAATTTAAAACCAGAGATGATCGTGCTTTTGAGGTTGTAGCGCCCAAACTGTGCAGCCTTCCTCTGTCCATCAGGTCAGCTGACTCCGTTATTTGTTTTAAGCAACTGGTGAAAACTCATTTTTATAGCTTATCGTCTCCTTAATCCGTTCCCCTTGATTTTTGAGACCATGCACCGGTATGTTGGAATAAATGCCTGTCTTTATGGCTGACTGTGTGTCTGTGTGTTTTTAACATGGGCACTTATCGTTAGTATGTGACTTTTATTTGAACTGTGAAGTACTTTATAACTGTGGTTTGAAAAGTGAAAAGTTATTATTGTGATTATATGCTTCAAATAATTCATCAAAGTTAATACACACTGTTTGAGCTGATTTTAGACGAGTTCTTGAAGTATGCACCAAACTGCACATATCTCCCAATTATTTTTGTTGCTCCTTGGATTTGAAACAGAAGTTACAACCTAGTAAAACCAGACAGAGGTTTAAAAAGCTTTCTGTTTCTCTCTTACAGCTTCAAGCTGTAACTAGACAAATTTTTCTTTGTGAAAGAAGATAACTGAGTGGGAATGCAATTAAACCTATCATGTGAAGGAAAACAATGCAATACTGTGAACAGAAATGTTCCAGTGAAAATATCTCATGGGAGAAACAAAGGTGTAAAATGCTTGTTATATGAGTCATCCACCAGAGATATTTTTTACACATAATTCTCCCCTCAAAGGGAGATGCAATCATTTCCAAATTTTATGTGATGTTAGATAACAGCTTTTCATTTTGGTGAAAGTTGGGTCAAAGTCAAGGTCGCACCAAATGTAAAAATCATTAAAAAAACTTGTAAACCCATAATTACCTGCAATTTTTATGGATCATCTTCAAACTTCACAACAGTATAGCACAGTGGTGCATGCCTTGAATCTATGAAATGCTGTGCAGTATTTCTGGCTGTCATGTCACAGCCATGCTGTCCCACCTCCAAGCTTAAACCTACTGCCTCTTTAAATTATTACGAAATGTGTCGTCAAAGTTTTGAGCAACTTCTTTTTAAAGGGAAATGAGCTCTTCTTCTCTGTCTCCACACGTCTGGATTTCAACATGACAAATGAGCTCATTCGGAAAGACGTCCGCTGGATGCGAGTCAGCGGCGACATGCTTTTGCTGACCATTTAAAAATCTAATCGTCTAAATGACTTGTTAGTATTTAATGTATTCATT